CCAAGATCATTGGGACCATACTCGACAAGTCGTTGCGATGCCTCAGAAGCACTCAATCCAATAGCCGGGGTCGTGTTGAGCTCTTGGATGACTACATCAGCTGGCAAAGCATGTGCTGGGCGCGAAAGTGGCTTGTTGGATTGACCAGAAACATGATGCTCCATATCTAGAGGAGCTGACTTGGGAGACATTGTCGCCGCTACCAAAGGAGAGTGATAACTTGAGAAGAGAGAAGCGTAGGGAGGAATTCCTTCTCGAGTCCTTGGCCAAGCAGCCCGGCCTTATGTACTTGAAGGCCCGCATGGCAACTTTCACCAAATGCACCTTGTGGGGAAGCCAAGAAACGGTGCAGCCCTCACGACTAGACCGACCGAAGCAACTTTTGCCGTTGTCATTCTGGCTGCTTCGTCAACCGTCCAGTCGTAGCAGATTTCATAACAGAAAATGGGGCTCTGTCTTGGCCTCCACGGGCCCCGAAGGTTCCATCACCCCGATCAAACTGTAGATCTACCGATTTTAAGTCTTAATATTCCGGTTCTAAGTCTTAAATGCCCGATTTGCTGTCGCGTTAAGAGTCATAGTGGCAGAAAACGATTCGAGATTGGCTGGCGGGAATATTTACGCTTATAACGAGTCTAAACTGTAATAGTGAGCCAAGGCTCCAATGCATTAGCGCCTTCGCCGTCAACGTCATTGGTCAGCCACTGTTCCCTCGGCCAGAGATCCATCGGGGTGCGCTGAGAATTGCCTAAAGCGGTAAATGACAGCGGTGATGGAGATTCGCCAAGAGCTGTGTTCGTTTATGCTTATTCATATTATCTCGACTTCGTGGCTATTTCTGCCTCTTGGGTCAAAAAGTCGGATGAAACGTGGGTAATTCCCATTTCTTATTAATTCCTGTGACTCTTTGTCTCTTGAAGTCACATAAATGAGTATGGGTATAGGTTACGAGACCCCATTGTCCATCCCAGTTGTTGTCCACCAACATTCCGGCAAGATCACGACCGAATGGCGGAAATGTTTCAAGTATCTCTGTTAATCAAGACTTCGACAAATTGTTGTATGATATCACATGCAACACCTTCTAGGTCTTGGCTGAAATACTCACTGGCACATTGACATAAGCTTTATGATAATGGTTGTAACGTATGGTAAGACAATCAGAATGTGCAACATTCTACATGAGCGAGTTCTTTTGTAGTCAGTCAATCACAGTGAACTCATATCTGAAAGCCTTTTAACATTTCCCTCATAAATTCTGCTTTGTATGCGTGATGTAGTAACGAAGGTCACTTATCTGTAGTATTGCGTGGATTGACATAAGCCCAGCCGATGTTGCTTAATAATGCACCCAATGTCAGATTCACGCCCTTTGGACTTCTCTGTATTTAATTCTGTCATTTCTCTTTGTCCTCGTACGCTACCAAACAACAAGCAGCCTCTAACAGACATCAATTAATATTCTTTAATCTCGCTCCACGTAATATAACGCCATCATGGTTAAGCTCCCATCACCATTCGCCGAGATTCCTCGGGTACAGTTAATTTTCGATCGACCCTCAGACATTGAGCGATTATCTGGCCTCAGCTCATCTATAGATGGGGGTGCAAACTTATGGATAGCCCGTGAGGATCGTAATTCGGGCCTTGCTTTTGCCGGAAATAAAGTACGCAAGCTCGAATATGTCTTAGCGGATGCCCTCGCGCAGGGTGCCGATACCCTTGTGACTACGGGCGGACTGCAGTCAAACCACATGTGTCAAACCTCTGCTGCTGCGGCTCGACTTGGTCTCAAGGTGCGTTAGTTAATAAGTCACAAAATACCATTGACTGATTTAAAAAGGTTGCTCTTTATCCAGCCAATCGTGTTGCATCCGAACACGCTGAGTACAAGTATCTCGGCAATATCCAAGCAAACTCAATTCTAGGCGCTGAGACCTTCACCCCAGACACCAGCGAAGAGACTGTGAACCAAATTCTCAAAGATCGTGGGCAAAAGCCTTATTCGATCCCAGCTGGTGCGAGCACGCATCCTCTGGGAGGCTTGGGCTATGCTCGCTGGGCATTTGAACTGCTTGAACAAGAGGCAAAGCTCGGCGTTACATTTGACGTCATCGCTCTTGTGGCGGGTTCTTGTTCCACGCTCGGAGGTATACTCGCAGGCCTCAAGTTGGCGCAAAAGCATGGTATTACAGGGTCCAAGAAACATGTCATTGGATTTTCGGTATTGCATCCGAAGAAAGAGGATGTCGTTGAAAAGGTATTGAGCATAGCAAAGAACGCAGCGTCAAAGATTGGCGTGTCCCCGGATGAGATCACGGAAGACGATTTTGAAATTGATGCTTCTTATATCGGGGAAGGATACGGACAGGTCAATGAAAGTACCGCTGATGGGATGAAGGAGCTAGCAAGGGCGGAAGGTATTCTGACTGATCCTGTCTATACGGGTAAGGCTTTCAACGGGCTGCTTCATACAGTCAAGAGCGGCGGACTGAAAGACAAGAATGTTCTCTTTATTCATACGGGAGGGCAGGCCGTTCTTGGAGCTTATCCGCAGTTGAGATAGTCAGCTTGCGTAGAGCCATTATCGAGACTACTAAGATAGAAAACTCTAGGTAATCGTAATCATGGTTGTTGAATCATTATCTAACAGAAAGTGAAAGGTCTGGTTGATCGTCAGCAGCCCATGGGATCCAAGGCCATTAAAATTCATTAACATTATTCAGCCGTCTCGCCACTACTCTAAATAGAGTCATACAGTGAGATATATCTATCCCTCGAAACATAAGCCCATGTCTTTCAGTATATCCTCTGCCCTTATATCAATTCCACCCGTTCTAACATCCTCAACTCCGAAGCCCAGGAACATCTCGTCTCCAATGAATCCATGATACTTCTGCTCGCGACTCTTCCAGCTCATAGATGTCACATAAAACATATCTGAAGTCTCCTTCTCGGGATACTTCTTTCGGCCATGAATCCAAATAGGCTTTCTTGACATGGCATGGATCTCAAAAGGAGCCTGCTGCTTGAATAGCATAACATATGGCTCATACACGCTGTGATAGTTGAAGTAGGATTTATGCTGGTATATCACCATGATGAAAGTGTTACTGTCATCAGGGACACAAGAAGGTTCGTCTCTACGACACATAGTGACTTTGAGAGAATTGGTGGTCTGGTGGATGGACTCTAGGTCGGTTTGGAGTTTGGGGAGGTATTTGGCCAGGCATTGCTCATCGCCTGCTGCGGCTGGTGCAAGATCAGGACCAGCTGAGCCATCTGGGTTCATTTGGGCAAACACCCTCTTAGGCTTGATATCGTAGTGCGTATACATATTGCCGTTGGAATCCCAGAAAAGGAACCAGTTCTTCTCAACCATGTTCCAAGGCAGTGGTCTCTGAAGCTCAGTGCCGACTCTGAATACACTCAGATTCTCCATATCACCCGACCAGCCTGTTAGTGTACGAAAGTCCTGAACGAACTGGCCAAAGCAAGTGTGTATGGAGTTTGAGCCATATGTGGTGTAAGGTCTATCAGGGCCATAAAACACGCGAGCATCGTGCGGACCCATGTTCATATGGAAATACGCCATGTCGCCTTGACATTTGTCTCCTCCAACAGTCGCAGTGACAGGCAGAGTTGTGGGTGAGTGAAGACATCGGAGGACACCGTCTTGGAATGCAGCATTGCAAACGAGCTCAGCAAACCAGAGTGAATTACCGCCTTCTTGCAGCCATTGAGCTACGACAATCCATGTGTTTTCCAGTGTAGGATGGGGGATGAGGTTGGGGTTGAGGGCAGTGAAGTCTCTGAAGTCAATCTCGAAGAACTTCTTGTCTTTGGTAGATAATGAGAAGACTTCAATGTGCGTTTCGCTGACATCTTGAGGAATGATACCCTCGCCGAAAGGTTTGTCTTCTGGCGTATCTGTCTTGGCAGCGGGTGATGATTGAACAGGTGATGCTTTTGTTGTGGATGGTTCTTCATCAGCCAAGAGTTCTTGCTCATCCCCAGGTGACTTCTTCAGCTGCGATGGAACCCATCCTTGAACATGTGCAGGGAAAGATGATGGATCGAGATAGAGCTTCAGAGCAAAGACAACAAGAAGAAATACTGGTATCACGAACAGCACCAGCTTTCGGGAATCTCGGACGAGCATCTTGAAGCATCCAATGCACGTCGTAAAGAAGCGAGTGTGTTGGAGGATGGAGTTTGACGCAGGCGGGGTCCAGTGAAGCCCTTGAACGATCAGAATGCAGCTTTGATTGTGACTGTGCCGTACGTCATTTAACTAATCCTTATTCGAGCCATGCTCCGTGGCCAGGGGTCAATCGTAAGATGACCCTTTACGCCGAAGAGGAGCTGAGAGATTATTCACGCGGGAGATGCGGAGTCTCGAGATGGTGATAATCATGCAGCCACGGCAATTGGCTTCTCACTAGAAGGCCAATGACATTTCAAGGACCCTACCCAGCTGAAGATAAGTTGACGGGCTAGACGGGGAAACCTGGCAGATTGTGACATCCAATGCCGCCGCAATTCGACGTCGACACATTTTTCATATGCATGCCGAGGCTGCTGAGGTACTTTTGCGGGGTGATATTGCACTAGTCAACGGCGCATGTTCCTGAACAGGGGATGTTCTTTTCTGATCGTGGAGGTGTGCAGATCTTAGTCGCGGGAGCGGGGATTAGCGTAATGAGAAGAGGTTGGGGTTCCTGACATGGCTTGGTAATACGAAGCCGCTGCCTTCTTCAACGGCAATCTCATGCAGGTGACCCTCCATCACTTGGCGGTGAGCCGAGGATCACAAGCAAAAAAAAAAAAGAGCATGCGACATTATGCCCCAAATTGATCTGATATCGAGGGTCTGGGGGTACGGTAGATATCCTCAGATCTAAGTTCTAATGGTGGGAGAGCTGAGACTAGCATGGCAATGACACATGTGATGTTACTGAAAAGAATTAAGCTTGATTTATTCTGCATCAAGATCTATGCTACGCTTTGGCCTGCTTGCTAGTTGGATCCCCCAACGCCTTCTTATAGAACCACGCTGCAAACTTGACGCTAGGCGTGTCGATAAACCGTGTCACGACGTCAGCTAGCCCGAACGTCAAGGGCACGAGAATCAGCTGAGGGAGGAGAAATGAGATCTCCAACCCCAAGGGTCCAGACATTGGCAGGGCTAGCTTGTTCGCCCAATGAGGAATGTTCTTCATGATCTCCTCGTTCTGCCACCCCACTGCTACGTAGAGTCTCTCGCCAATAGTCCATAGCACTGGACCATGGACAAGATATAGAGCGAACGAGATACGCCCAAGCCACTGACAAAATCTCGTCTCGAAGAAGCTCTTCAACCAGAAGATGCGAGGGATAGACGCAACCAAGAAGACAGCTGCGTAGAAGAGGTAGAACCATTTGTAGTCAAACACTGCTTGAGGTTTGAACCACGAAAGGTAGTAGAAGCCCCTGTTCTTGGCAAGTTGCTCAACATTGCGGTTCTCAGATGGTACTCCACCAAGGAACAAGCTGAAGATTAAGAGATGGTAAAAGATGAACTCCTTGGCAGGTTCCAGACGTGCCATCCAGCGGGGCAGATCGCCCTTGCGGGCAAGAAGATCCAAATCGCAGAGCAGCATACCAGCTGTGAACATGGAGTAGAATGATCCATCTGCGATGTACATGAAGTAGAATATCAAGCCCGTCTCACACCAGAGGCGAGCATTCTTCGAACATCGAGAGAACGCCATCTGTGCTGTAAAGATGACGACAGATCCTTTGAATTCAATGGGGATAGACCACAAGTGGCGGTTGTAGGTCAACCATGGCTCGCCACCTTCTTTGAAGACAAAACTAAAGTTCTTGAACTCATAGTAGAAAGCCCAAAGCTCGTCGTACCAGCTCTTTTGCTGTGTCATGATTCGTACCCAGACGCCAAAGATGTGTAGTAGTGTGATGTAGGCGAGCATGGACATGATGAGAGGCAAGTAAAGGCGAATCCAGCGCCTGAAGAGCGAAGATGCTATGACATCGCCCAATTGTGCATGCTCTCCAGACTGAATTAGTCCCATTGGCTTGAGCGACAGGACGTAGCCTGAGATGATGAAGAATGTCGATACTGCGTAATGGCCGCCTGTGAAGAAATGCCTTATGAAGGGGAATGATGCAAAGTAATGCTTTCCTCCATAGCCGAAAGCATTCTCGAGGATTGCGTTCTGGCCAACGATGTCGTGTGCCCAAAGTTCATGATGATGGAAGTACACGAGAAGCGCTGCAAAACCTCGGAGGCCATCTAGGTAGGCTGTTGGACGGAGGTTCTCTAGAGGCCGTGTTCTGGCGCGAATAGCAGCTCTGGTGGTGTTGATGATGTGTTTTAATTTGCCGCCTGCAGCCGCTGGTTTCCAGGATGAGTAGGACTTTGCAAGCGTCCAGTCTGAGCCTGAGTCCGTCTTGACCTCATCCCAGTCGTCGCTGTCGAGGAGACCGCTTGTTCGAGGCGACATTTTGGACACCAATTGAGGCTTCGTAGCTGAAATCTTGACAAATTCAAGATGTTGTCTGCTCAATTGATTGAAGACGAGGGACCTGATGTACTCCGCAACTCCCGATGTGCGACTCGGAGAAAAGCCCCAACTAAGAATCACAAGCCGAGGAAAGCATGTGTAAAAATATGACAGACAAAAAAACAAGGCCCTCGAAGATGGGGTAATTATCACGAAGCAGGGATTGGGACTTTTGGTGTGCGGAGACCAACGGCGTGAATGAGAAAATCATCATCTCGATGGAGGCATATCTTGGCTTCTCATGACGTTGCACCGCGGTGATGTTACATGAGGGGCGCCAGCGTTGCAGAATCCTTCCGTAAAAGCGCCTTTAGGACAAACCAGCGGAAATTCGGCAGCCACAGTGAGTAATTAGCTCAACCAACAATGGATGAGGATTCGTGGGTTAGGGCGGGAGGCTTGTATGGTTAGGGAATGGTTCGTGTGCGGGGATTGGGGACAGGGGCTATATCCGAGGCTCGTTCCCCGGATCACAAGCCAAGACGGGAGTTGTATGCCTAACGATTCTATCCATTCCATTCCATGGGTGGCTTGACGTTAGACTTCTGCAAGGCACGTTAAAGCCACAATGTCTGTGGTATGTTGATCTTGATATACTGCCAATTACAGTTTATACACACGTGTGACCTATTTCTTAGGGAGTTTCACTACGGGTAGACTATAGCTGGACTGACATCAAGACGACTTTTCACAACCAGCAACCTCACCTTCTGATGCATCACCAAATCTCGGCCCCATAATATCCCCCTCCCCCAGAAGCACGGCCTCGTAATACCCCAGGCCGCTCCCAAGCCCACCTCCACGATCCCCCCCCCCCATCATACGGAGGAGCTGCCTTTCCTGGAAGTTCTCTACTCGACCCCTGCCGAGATGCACAACAATCACATGGGGTCAGCCATGGATTCTCTCTCCACAATCCTTCTTCGGCCCTCTTCCGCAGCTGCAAGACGGTAATTTGATAAGAAAACGGCTCTCTCGTCTTGTGAAAAGGTCCGTAGTTCTTTTCTTGGTAAAAGCTTGGTTACGTCGAGTTCCACTTAAGGGTTCTAGGGCTCAGCTGCATGTTGCATTTTCCATCTGCAGATAACTCTTTTTTTTTCTCTCTCTCCTCGTCTGCTCGGTGTATCATCTGCTTTGTCTGCAGAGAAGCTTCTTGCCTGTGAATACGTCTCCCGGTCATGGCGAGTAGCCCTCGTCGAAACATCCCGTCTAATCTTCGTATCCCTCCTACCACTGTTGAGTGGACCGTTGCAAAGACCGACAGCTACGATACCAAGATGGGCACTCCATTGGGCTCGCCAACTCTGGCAGCCTCGACAGCAAAGTTCAGAAACAAAGTCCCAGCTCAGATGCAAAGATGTATACCACTGTACATGGCATGTGTCATCGTCCTCTTCATCATCCTCAACTTCGACATCTTCTACTCTATACCCAGCCCCCTCGGCGTGTTCCGAAAAGAAAAAGAGATTGTATCAACACCATCACGCTTTAGCACGTTTCCCCAAAAGATCTGGCAAACGTGGAAAGTCGATCCATTAAACTTTGAGGACCGTGACTTGATCACTTCAAGAACGTGGGTCAATAAGAATCCTGGAATGCGATATGAAGTTCTCACAGACGACAATGAGCTTGCGTTTGTGGAAGAGCACTTTGGTGCGGGGAGTGCGATAAATCGACCGGATATTGTCAGGTTTTACAAGAGCATCAACTTGCATATTATCAAGGCTGATCTATTGAGATACATGATCATGTATGCTCAAGGAGGTGTCTATGCAGACATTGACGTCGAAGCGTTGAGGCCTGTACACCGTTTTATACCCGAGCGATACGACGAGAGAGACATTGACTTGATTGTTGGTGTTGAGATTGATCAGCCCGAGTTCAGCGATCATCCTATCCTCGGCAAGAAATCAAAGTCTTTCTGTCAATGGACTATCATTGCAAAGCCTCGCCAACCAGTCATGCTACACCTTATCGAGCATATCATGGTCTGGCTCAAGGCTGAAGCAAAGAAACAAAAGGTTGCGCTCGGAGATATCGAGCTTACCTTTGACCAAGTCATCAGCGGCACTGGTCCTTCTGCCTTTACAGGAGCTTTGCTGGAACAGATGCGCAAGAATCATCGTGGCGGAAAGGTCACATGGGATCTATTCCACAACCTAGATGAGTCTAGAGTTGTCGGTCGGGTTCTTGTCCTCAACGTCGAGGCCTTTTGTGCAGGACAAGGCCACTCAGACTCTGGTAACCACGACTCTCGTGGAGCTTTGGTCAAGCATCACTACCATGCCTCCAACTGGCCCAGCAAGCATCCTCGCTACCGTCATCCAGCATACGGTCAGGTTGAGGACTGCAACTGGAACGTGGAGTGCGTGAGGCTCTGGGACGAGAACGTCGCCGAGTGGGACAAGCTCTCGGAAGAAGAGAAGAAGCTGAAGATCGAGCAGGCCAAGAAGCCTGATCTTGGTCTATGACCCGAAGAGATCGGTTGATATTTAGAAGTGCTCTGGAGATCGGCGTTGAGTTTGAATTTCGGAACCCAGATACCTGAGGTCGTATAAACGCGTAATTGATGAATGAGACCATGTAAACTCTACAACCGCCTAATCAGGCCATTATCCAATTATTGCATCCCGTGTGAAGTGCCGTCTCTATATACAAGTCTTGCATTCCTTGCATCTGCGACTGTGGCTTGGCGCATATCCATCGAGCCGAGGCATCGACAAGGGTAGACCAACTCTATTCGGTGTGATCCAACCCCGCGCGTCCCGAACCTCCGTCTTCATATACTGCGAGTCTGCGCCGCTTCTCTCTCTTTTCCAAAACATAATCACTCAATTTAATTATGGCTTCTCAAGAGAATCAACCCGTCATCATCGTCGGCGCTGGCCTGGCTGGCCTCGTCGCAGCTTTTGAACTCTCAGAGCGCAAAGTCCCTGTTCTGTTGGTCGATCAAGAAAATGAAAACAACATCGGCGGACAAGCTTTTTGGTCGCTGGGTGGCTTGTTTATGGTCAACTCTTCATATCAGCGAAGAATGGGGATTAAAGACTCCAAGGAGCTGGCGTACAGAGATTGGATGGGCTCAGCGAGATTTGATCGTGAAAAGGAGGATTACTGGCCGCGTAAGTGGGCCAAAGCCTTTGTGGACTTTGCCACCGATGAGCTGGAGGATTATGTCAGGGCCAGGGGTCTCGGCTTCTTGATGAATGTCGGATGGGCTGAGAGAGGTGATGGCACTGCAGATGGCCATGGAAATTCTGTTCCAAGATTCCATGTCAGTTGGGGCACAGGGCCAGAGGTCGTCAAGATCTTTGCAGACCCTGTCAAGAAAGCTGCAGAGAACGGCATCGTCAGCTTCAAGTTCAGACACAGAGTTGATGAGTTGATCGTCGACGACAATGGACGTGCTGTTGGAGTACGTGGCACAATTCTGGAGGATGATGATGCTGCCCGTGGCGTCAAGTCGAACCGGGTTGAAAAAGACAAGTTTGAAATTTACGGCTCAGCAGTTGTCGTTTCTTCAGGCGGCATTGGAGGAAACGTCGATGCCGTCAAGGCTGCATGGCCTGTCGAGAGATTAGGCCCCAAAATCCCAGAGACCTTTGTCATCGGCGTTCCTCATCATGTCGATGGACGCATGATCGGTATATCCGAAGATGCCGGTGCAAACGTCATCAACCGCGACCGAATGTGGCATTACACTGAAGGTCTTCAGAACTGGAACCCTATCTGGCCAGACCACGGTATCAGAGTTCTCCCTGCCCCCTCATCTCTTTGGCTCGACGCAACTGGCAAGCGACTGCCACCATTCCTCTACCCAGGTTCCGATACCCTTGCGACGTTGAAGTATATCTGCAGCACAGGATATGACTACACCTGGTTCATCCTCGACCAGAGCATCATCGCCCGTGAATTCGCCCTCTCTGGCTCAGAGCAGAATCCCGATGTTACTAATAAGAGCATTTGGTTGCTTCTCACTCGAATCTTTGGCAAGAAAGGCACCGTCCCTGTCCAGAACTTTCAAAAGCACGGCAAGGACTTTGTTGTCCGCGATAACCTGGAAGACTTAGTAGTCGGTATGAACGAACTCGCCAAGAAACGCAATGGTCCACTACTAGACTTCGACGCTATCAAAGAGGTGGTCGAAACAAGAGACGGCCAGTTCAACAACCCATTCTCGAAGGACGCGCAAGCAATGCTTATCCACAATGCACGAACATACTGGGCCGATCGCCGAAGCCGAGTTGCTCCACCTCATAGACTCCTTGACAAGGCCCATGGACCTTTGATCGCTGTGCAGATGAACATTCTTACGCGCAAGACCTTGGGCGGTATTGAGACGAATCTGGATAGCAATGTCATGCGTGCAGACGGCACACCGTTCCCTGGGCTATACGCAGCTGGTGAAGTTGCAGGCTTTGGCGGTGGAGGTGTACATGGGTATAATTCTCTTGAAGGAACGTTTGTTGGAGGATGCATCTTCTCGGGACGTGCTGCTGGAAGGGCTCTTGTTCGTGAGATCCTGGGTGAGAATGATTCCGATGGAGGAGAGCTGAAGAAGGTGAACTCTCGCCTCTGAGCTGGTGATCGGAAGAGTTTCCTATGTTTTGGCTTGATTTTGGCGCATTTTACAAATAGAGATACGTTTGATGTTGATACAAGATCAGTATGAGTAACATGATATGACAATCCTTTATGTTGATGAAATGGTGGTCCCGATATGCGCGTGCGGTGAGATCAACGTTTCATTTATCTGCAAGGCACAGCACAGCTGCCACAATGTTGTAAGAATTCTATCTACAGATGTAACCCGACCACATGCACATGTTTGGTTCATTGTAACCATAAAAATCAACTAGAACCTCATATTGGACTCGACAGACTGCCTAATTATGTTATGTTA